AAAAATACACAATTTAAATTTAAAACAATATTTTATAATTTTGAAGTAATCATAAAACATGAAAGTCAATACATATCTGGATAAAAATTACATGCAATAATTTAGTTACGTACATGCCTTTGTTCTTTTTTATACACGCTCATTAACATTAAATATAATATAGTATTTATTATTTCTAATTTACTATTTATTATTCATAAACATAAATTATTATTACTTAATAATAAAAAATCACAATAAAATGCAACATAAAAATCACAATAAATAATAATTATAATACAAACTATACGAATACAATAATCGCGTTTAGAAGTGACATTTAAATTCGAAATGAAGTCATTTGATAAATGCAAAAAAAATCTAATTAAAAATTAGAAAAAGTTAATTTGTAATCAAATATTTCTAAAGTTTTACATTCTTAAAAAATGCATTATTAAAAAATAGGAATAGGAAAAGATAATGGTCGAGTAATTTAACAATTTCAATTAAGAAATAAATGCTTATTCGATTAAAAATACATGATATTGATTTATGAAGGAAAAATTTAAAAAATTGTCAAAAAATCACTGATACATTTGATTCTGATTAAAATTTTGTATAGAATAATATAAATATTCTTAAAATAATCAGAATGTTATTTAATTATATTTTCAGAATTTTTAATAAAAATTATATAATAAAATATAATAGTATAATTGATCATGAATTCTCTCTGCCTTATATTATTTAATTACAATGAAATTAAATTTAAAATATAAAAAAAATTAAGTTTGGAAGTTTCAGATATGGAAAAAATATGGAAGGAGATCACATAAATTTAAATATTATGAAATAATTATGAAATAATTAAAAATCATTTCCAACATATGAATATATGTATACATGTATATTTACAAATTTGGCAGAGAGAAGAATATACAATAATTCAATACAATCAGGAAAATTCATACTTTTTTTCCGTTCAAGAAAAAATAATAAAAAGTAATATAAATTATAAAATGAAACAATGAAATTATAAAATGAAACAATAATTCTTTCTTTAATTATTATAAGTTTTAATATATCAAATATCAATTTTCTTGATAAAATTTAGATAATGAAATGAATTTATCACAAAATATTACAAATTTTATTTGTAAAATAAAAATATTAATTTATAAAAAAAATATATAATGCAATTCGAAAAAAGAATACACGTACAATTTTATTATTGGATAATTTAAACTATTTTATTTTTTCTTAAATTAATTTATCTTGAACGATAAAAGAATGATAGATTGTTCTAACTATATGACTTATCCCAAATATACAAATAGTCACAAAACTATTCGGCCATTGGGTATTCAGTATATTTTATATGAAATAATATATTAATAAGAAAAATAACTCGAAATTTATTTATAGTGATAATCTAATTAATTGAAAATATGATAGAATGAAAAATGATATGTTAATTAATAAGATACAAAATACTCAGATGGCCAGATACTTTGTGTTCAATTATATTATATAAACAATAAGTAAAAATAAAGCTAACATGTGACTCATTCATCTTCTATAACTTATAAACGATCTGTTTCAAAGTCTTAGGATATTTTGATTTTGGAAGAGTTATTTTAGTTCAAAATATTACAATTTATTACCTCAAAACATAAAATTTAAAGATAACTACATCCAAAATCAATTAACATAGGATTGTTTTTTTTCATTCATAAATTTCATTATTGAAACATTATGACACACATTAGACAAATAGGAAAACTGAGCCCATAAATAATTTCAAAATATAATTTTTATAGCAGTCTTTGGCATTATTTCAAGTGACAAATTAAAATCATATAATTTTTATAAATGATAATAGTAGTTTAAATAATATAATAATATTAATAATATAGTACTAATGTCAAATTTCACAAAAGAAATTAAATTATGAATTATTTAAAAGAAAAAATGGGCTACTATTTTATTTATATTTCAGTAAAAATAACAATTTACAAAATCATAAGCTGGAAATGATGAAATATTAAAATATTAATGGAATTAAATAATGTTTCAAATAATACATATTTATGAGCTCAGTTATTGATTTCATCAAATCGCCAACATTCATCGCCATTCACACCAAAACTTTTCTTTTGCCAATTAATTCTTTAAATTTAAACATTACTATCTGGTTTATTGGAAAAACCCATTGGTTGAGCATTTTCAACAAGTGTAGCTTGCATACTCGATGAAGGAACCTCAATATTCGTCGCTGCTGATCTCATTTCACGGAAAGGTGCCCTAAAAAATTCATAAATTATTAAGATTCAAAATAATTAATTAATAAACACATAAAAATATGTGCATTAGAAGTTGTATTATAAAACACGTATCTATAAACTATAAAAAAATATTTTAAAGCTACAAAATGAGAAAATAATAAAGATTTTAAAGGAAATATAAAAATATAATTTAAAATTATTTAATTAAAACTGCATCCATATAATATTATAACAGAATATCTTGAACAATAATTCTAAATATTTAAAAAATTTTAATATTATTGTATTTTATTTACTTTAGGAGTACTTATAAAAACTAAGTGTACTTATAAAAACTAAAAGTTAAGCTGAAATTTAAATACTAAATATATAAATATTATTACTATAATACTATATTTAAATATATATAAAATTATAAATGAAAGAAACCAGCAGCAGCATGCAAGTTATTAATCTATATAATAATATTTAAAAAATACAGGAACAAAGCAAACATGTCTTTCTAATGCAAGAAAAAAATTTAATATATGATCTAAAATTAATGTTATTTTATGAAATTAAAAGAATGTATTTATGTATAGATAATTATTTAAAATTATATATTATATATTAAATAATTATATTAAATAATAATAAATAATATATTAAATAATTATTTAAAATTATAAACTATTCTTAAGCTTAAACATATACACATATAAGCCTTTCAAGATAATTAATTCGTGAGTATAGACAAAATTTTAAAAAATATAAAATATTTATCAAATTAAATAATTTAACTTTAGAATAAAAAATTTAATCAAACAGATTAATAAAGTATAAAAAAATCATTATGCACAAATATAACTTAATTATAATATCAGAGAAATTAAATGCATATTGTCAAATATATTCAGCATAACAGTAACATTAAAATATAACCATGAACCTACAAATCTATGTATTTAGAAAACTACAAATGTAAGAATGACAATAAATTTTATATATTATTGCCTGGTTAGAGAAGTGGTGCAATGAATGTTTGATGATTTATGTAGGCCTCCAGACATCAGGATCCTCCACGAGAGTAGTATGGTGATCTGTAGTAGGAGGTACTGTACCCTGTGGGGAACTCACACCCGACGTTATTCCTGCTGGGTCGGGCCTGGTTCCTCTGTTGTGATTAGTGTATTAGTAACAAAAATAAAAATTATACTTGTCAAATATATTATATTTTATGATTATATTTTAAAAAAATATAGCTTACTAACAACACTTAGTTGTTAAATGAAAATGATATATTTTATTGCTTTGTGTAATGATACATGTTTTATAAGACTTCAAAAATAAAAATATTATATGTTAGTTAATTTATGTATAGAAAATATCCATAAACCATAGTTATAGATTAAAACATAGGCACAAATATGAGACAATATAAAATTAGTTTTTTACCCACATCCCAAGCAAATAACATATGCACATATTATTATAACAATACATCAATGTTTCAACTAAACAAAATAATTATATAAAAAATTATATTAATTTCTTAAAATTGAAATAAAACATATACTTATTAATGAATTATCCATAGAAATACATTTTTAATTGTCTATATAATTTCAATATTAGTAATTTATCTTATAATGCTACAAATGAAACAAATATAACTTACTTTCGTCCAAGTGACATTAATCCATATATTACACCTGTTGCAAATATTAGACCACTGCCAAATAGACTACTCATTCCTAAACAAAGGAAGACTGAAGGAAGTGCTATTCTAAAAAGAATAAGAAGAAACATTGTATCTAAATATTAATGATACAAATTAATATTAAAAAAAAAAATTGAAATCATAGCTTATCTCATCAAATACATGATCTACTTACAAACAATATGCAACTGCTCTATTCCAATAAGGTCTCTTTTCCACCCAATCACTTAAGTTTTGTACAAAATCAATAAATAGACAGCAACATGGTGCTTCTATCATTATAACTATAAAACCAGCTACCATTTGCCACATACCACTTATTAGGCAATCTACAGAACCCAATAATATTGATGCACAATTCCATACTCCAAGAAAAATTGCAACTGTAACAAATCAATAAAAATTATTGAATAAACATAGATTATATATTATGAGAGATAATATGAATTAGAAATTCTAATTGTTATGTATCTTTGTAACATCTATTATAAATAATATAAATAAAGATAATACAAATAATAAAATCTCTATAATGACAAAAATGATTTAAAATATTTGAGTGCTATATAATTATTTGTAAATATAAAAAGATCACAAACTAATAAATCATATCTTAATACTGTATATATATATGCAAAATATTAACTATTATATGCATTTATTATGTATTTTTGAAAAATATAATAAATATATAAAAAAATGCTGTAAAAAAAAAAATAGTAATAATAAGTTAATTCTATGATAATATGTATCTTATAATATTTTTTAAATTTAAAGACTTACTTATACTACCCACAGTTCCGAGTCCTCGACCAGCATATTTCATCCACCAAGGTACATCGTCCTTGGCAACAGGGTCCTGTCCTGGTCTTTGCATAATCGATGATATTTTCTCAGCGAACGACTAAAAGCCAAAAAATTATTATTATTAGAATACATAATACACATTGGAATAATTTTAAATTTCAATAATTTAAAATATATTTACCATTTTTATCGTTCTACTCTCCCCTTCTTCACCAGCTGACAGGACCAAATGAGACTGACAGTATATATTATAAGGATATGTTGATGTACAGAAAATCGACCCGTGAGTTTCTTAATTATATAGGCAGAGGCGCTTATATCTGTCAACGATTTTGTACGTGGTTCTCACGTGAATTTTATGGTTAAGCACTGTTTCTATTACCAACTTATTAAATAAATATAACTTCTGAAACAAATTTCTACCAATCAGCGTCAAATAAATATTTATACTATTCATAACATTATCTTTATTCTTACAATAAAATATCATTATACATAAATATGTTAAAAATTTATTTGAAACTTAATAAATAATTTTATCAAATTATTTATTTACAATTATGAAAAGAAAATACATTAATATAATTAAATATTAAACATTAAATAATATATTATTGATTAAAAAATTTATATTTATAGAAATCAACTAAAATTTAAAAATTGATACAAGATATTCCTAAAATAATGTTCTTTGTAATAATATATAAAAAGAATACTTAATTATTGCATTATATACATATTTTTATAACAAATATAGACATATTAATGATAATTATCAAATAACTTTTTTATTAAAATCAAATCATGTTGTATATTCAGTAAAATCATCCATATAAATACGTTTGCTTAATCTTGGGGATAGATCATCAGTTCCATCTGGATTATTATTTGTTGATTCTTGTAACACACGATTTCTAAGCCTTTTAATATGTCGTAAACGTTCTAACCAATTAGAAGCATATGGATTATGACTGTTTTGTTCCAATGATGATGAAACCATTGAAGCAAGCTGCAAGAATAAAAAAAGAATTTTTAATTTCTCTATAATATAATTTCTGTTTGAAGTATATTTTAAACAAATATATATTAAATATAAATATTATAATTTAAGAAATAAAATTAAAATATAATACCAAATTAAATAAATTTAATATTTACAAAATTTAATTTTTATTAATCTTACATTGGCATGAAGAGCTAATTGTCGAGATAAAATAGCTAAATTTTGATCAGAAATAATTTTTGGTTCACTGTGTCTAATATGTTTAGCTAATTCTTCTTTTACTTGAACTGTGACTTGATTAGTACCATGATCTAGAGGCTGAATTACAACACATGCATAATTGAACTGTCCCTAAAAGAACATATTAATATTAAGATAAATATTAATTATTATTATTTAATTAAATCTTGAAAATGATATAATAATACATACTTTTACAGTTTGTATATTATATGATTCTCCAGATTCATTATAAACAACAGTAACATAGTTATTTCCAATATGTTGTTTTTTAGATGTACATTTTGGATCACTTAATTTTGTAGGCATTAATGTAGCAACATGAAATGCTACCTAATAAAATTTTAAAAATTTATATTATTAAGAATATAGAAAAAAATTTATTAAGAATATAGAATATCAAAAATTTTAATAATTCATTTTAACCTGTGTAACATCATCTTGCCAAATATATGCGAAGTTTCCATTTTCACCATTACGATCTAATCCTCCCAAAAACACACTTTCATCAACATCTTTCAATCGAACTAATGTTCCTAATCGTTGTAAAAATTCTGTATATCGAAGTGATCCATGTTGATTAGCTAAAATTTCAGTTTCATTAGAAGCTTGTCCTGGACCAACATAAAGAACTCCAATTTTGTGAGTTTCATATGGTTGTATTCTATCTAAATTTGTTACTGCTCTTTGTACAGCCGTTGTCTGTGGAACCAATAAAGGTTTTTCTGAAGGCGAACCAAAATGTGCTGTATGATATAGTTGTAAAAACACAAAACTGTAATTTATAATTTATATATAAATTTTACATTATAACAAAAATAATTATTAAATATTTTTATTTAAAAGTATTATAATATTACCTAGGATTAATACCAGTTTTCGGAGTTTCTTTTATTCGTGGCGAATTTCCTCTACGAATGTTATCCCATTCTCCACGAGATTTTTTCACAGGACTCATTACAGAAATTGTATGACCTCTATCACGGAAAGGTAATGGCAAAGGAGGTAACATTGAAGGATCAGCTTTCTCATCTTTTTGCTAAAATATATATTATTTTTATTGATATTATATATTTCATATTATATATAAAAAATTATATATATATCAATTTTAATAAAAATATGAAAAATATCATTTATAATACCTTATCTAAATGATTACGTCCAATAGGTGGTTTACTATCTGTTCCTAATGGTATTGTTTTTGACCAGAATCAAAATTGGATAATCGAGGATAAATTTGTGTAGGTGATTGTGGAGGTTTTGTAACAGATTGAATTTGTGTTGCACGTCCTTGTACTGCCAAAAAATTTCCTTGAATCTGTAAAAATATATAAAAAATTTTCGTTATTAGGATATATTGCAGATTTTATTATAATATTTACTTGAATACTACACCTGTATAGTAGTAGGAGATGGGGGAACAGTATTACTCAAATTAGTATTCGTAATAATTTGAGTTACTTGAGTTGTGCCTGGATAAGAGCGTTGAGACTGTAATACAGTTGGATGATCTGATACATTTTCTGATGGAGGTGTTGTACCCATACCAAATATTTCTTCTGGTATAGCTTCACAACTGACTCTATAAATAAATTATATTTTTATTAATTATTTGTCATGAAATGATATAATATTTCATGCAATAATATTAAATATTATGATTATAATTATAAGTATTATAATTAATTATAATCATATTATATTGAAATATGAATATTAAGAAAGTATATTTTATAATTTAAATAAATTTCTTTATTTCTAGTTTAATAGAATTTTAGTTTAATAGTTTTAGTTTAATAGAGTCTAAAAAAAATTTCTGCAAAATTGATTTTGATTTTATTTGAAATTATTAAAGAAATCATAAATTGCAATTCAATTGTTTGGAAAATGATATTTCATTAATCTTTACATCAATTTTATTCAAAATATTTTCATATTTTATTTGAAATATTTTCAAACAAGCATTATTTTATATAGTTTAGAATATTTTCATATTTCAAAATTAAAACATTTATTATTAAAGTAGAAGTATTTAGCATATGAAACTCAAAGTAAAATATCTATCCTATCAATTTTAAATTATTTGAAAATTTATTGTTACAAAAATGTTTTCAATAGAAGTTGAATGGCATTGAAATTAATAATTTAATTATTAGTTTTTTATATGGACACATATTTATTAAATATTTATTAGATATTTTTTAAATATAATCATATATTTTTTGATATATATTTTTTTTATATATTTAATTAATGTTAACTTAATTCTTACAATATTTATGCTAAAAGCATTGGATTAGAAAATTATTATTAAAATATAAATTCATCAACTTTTTTTTCTATAAAATAATAAAGAATTATAAAATATATGTTATCACATTATTTTACATGATTTAATTAATAAGATATTGAATTATTATATACTGATATTAAATATTAAAAGATATTATATAATTAACAATAAATATAATATTGAAAATCTTTTGATCTAATGATTTTTATTATAAAAATTATATTTTTTATAAAAAGACTAATGCATCAAAAATATATTTAAAATATATTTATTTTTAAATATAATTATATTTAAAAAAACAAAATTAATTTGTATCCAATTGTATACAAATTATTATATATTCTCATATTATTATATATTCCTTAACATATTCATCTAAAAAAAATGAATAACATCAAATTATATCCTATTTGACTATTTAATTCCTTTTAAAAATATTTATTTATAGAATAAAAATAATTTTCAAACAAAATAAAAAATCGAAGAATCTCAGTTTATACATAGTTTATACTGCTGAGAAATTATTTATTTTATTATTAGTTACTTTGTTAATGACATATTTCATTTTGTTTTATTTTATTTATTTTATTTCTAATTTTGAAATGTGTATTTTAATTAAAATTAATATAGGATTAGAATTTAAGTGTATTGATGTAAAAGAACTTAAACATTATTTTTAAATTAATCATTAGAATATAATTTATAATTTTTTAAAAATTTTGATTCTTGTAATTAAATAGAGTTCAATATAACAAAAAATCTTTTGACTTTGATTTTTAAAATTGAGATTGCCATTCTTTTTTTAACTGAAAAAATATTCGAAACTGTGATATATCTATTTTGATTTTGTATTATTTTGTTATAAATCTTATTTAATTAAAACTAAATGCTTATTTTTAAGTTTCTCTATCAGTCAGTTTAAAGTATATTATCGAAATAGTAATACCTCATATCCTTTGCATACGTAGTTTTCGCAGGTTTTTTTAATTCAGCATCAAGTTTAATTTCTATATCTGCTGAAAAATCGCGATCGACTTGTAAATTTAATTTTTCTTTATTCAAGAATGGATTTTTCCAATTAGCACTCATTTCGGGACTAGAATTTGATCTGCGTACAGGATTTCGAGAACGACGTAAATCTACCAAATTTTTTAATTTATAATTTTATCAATCATTCATTAAGATAAGTAAAATATGATATTACTAATCATACCATCTTCACCATCTTCTAAACTTTCTAAACTATCACGTGAACTTTGCCTTGAAGGACTCGGTCGAGCTGGTGAACCAGGTATAGCTATTGGACCTGATGACACAGAAGATATCATAGATTTCATATTGTTATGATCATTTTTTATTTGATCCATATTTTTATCTGCAATATCCTGTAAATAGTTCTTATAAATTTTTCCATATAATATCTAAAAACATATTTTTAAATTACCTCTGTTTCATCTCCAGAATATTCTGATGTAAATTCTTGTTGCTTTTGCTTTAAATCTTGATTTGGTCTATATAAAGCCATTATGTCATACACAGGAAAATCTATATTTGTTTCAAACTGCATAGAATTCTGAATTCTCATTATCCAAGACATATCACCTGTAGGTCTACGCACATATATTTCAGCCCATCCTTGACACCAACAAGCACAAAGAACGTGTTCTTCTTGTTTTTCACTATTAAGTATTTGTTCTAATTTTGACGATTCTGCTTGATCTTTATCCACTTTTTCTAAAGAATCTTTTTTTATTGAATCTAAATCTTCTGATGTTTTCTTCAATTCTTCTGTTGGAGAATTTGCAGCTGTATT